GTGCCCCGGTGGCCCATCACGTCCTCGGTGCGTTGCATTGTGTTTGCGGCAGAGGGAGGGCTGGCTGTGTCAGTGATCAATGTCATGACTTCCTCCTCGGGCTGGAGCAGTATCAGAGCACAGCTGAAGGAAGCTGATTACTGCTGGTTTCAAATTGGCTGGGAACAATACAGACACACACACACACAGAGAACACACAACACACGCGCGCACAAACACACACACACACACACACACACAGCCCGCCCCCCGGCTCCCGCGCCGCCGCTCCGCGCCGGGGGGGGAAGATGAGCTCGGGGGACGTCGTTTGCACTGGATGGCTCATTAAATCGCCCCCCGAGAAGAAACTCAAGAGATACGTAAGTGCGGAGAGTCTACCGATATTTTGCTCTCTAAGCGGATTTCTGCATGTGCTCCGTGTCTTACTCTTCCTTTGCAACGTCTCGCGGCTTTCGGCTCCGTCTTGGACCAAAACAAAAAAGATTTACTAGTCTGTGCGCTTATTGAGTATTTTAATTATCATCAATATTCTTGTGCCCTTCGGAATTAACCTTTCCTGGCTCATAAGATTATAATTCTTAAGTTGTTATGCAATGTAGCTTAGGTTAAAAACCACATTTCGGTTTCAGTTAATGTTGCCATAGCTAACAGTTTTGTAACAGAATTTCAGATGTCTCTTCTCCAGGGAAGGGCAAGAACCTCCTAAAAAAACTAGTATTTTGAAATCGGATGCATCTTTGTTAAGATGCTATGTAATTCCTATGACACTTGCTAATGCCAACGTCTGCAATAGTTTTATTTGCCGATTTAATATGCATTTACTAGCCAATAGCTTTACTTTTTGCCTGTGGTACAGAGGTGTTAGAAGGTGCCTTGCTATAAAGTTCCTGATAACGAAAAGGTAGCGGGGACCGATGAGAACAACCGAGCACTGCATGCACGGAGAGCAGCAACTGCAGTGTGTGTAAAGGGGGCCCCTTGTTTCATTCTGTATCTGCCTGCCTGTTTTTCTACAAAAAAATGGGTGTGTGTTACAAACATAGGAAACTGTATCACTGCAGGGCTGCAAGGAAGGCATTCCAAGTAGAAATAAATGACCCTTAAAAAAATTGCTTGGGACAGCATTACAAACGTAAGCCCATCGTGGGCCATTTTGCATACTCATTTGTGTTGGTTGTTACTCAGGCAGGCTGGTATTGTTCACACTTTTGGAACTGGTAATGTTCATTTAAGTGATGCACTTCCAGCCCAACTCACCAAGAGCACTGCACTATACTAGAAGGATACCACCATATGTGTCTATCACACACGCCGTATAGACAGCTTACATCATTTGTTGTATTCGCTTCTGTTTATCAGCATTTTTGGACTGCTGATGTTAGCTTTTTTCTAGTAATCTGAGGAATGACTATCTTGTGAAGAATATGGTAGATATCACTTAGTAGTGTATTTTTATTTCTATTAAAAACTAGGGAAAAGGATAATTTACTGATGTTCAAATTTACTTTTAACTTACTCTAAGCCAGAGTTTCTTCTTTTAGATCGTAGTATTGCATTGGAATGGCTGAGTATTTTCTTTGTTCGGTTAACATTTTCCAATTTTAAAATAACCACTATGATGTGTCTCAAGGGAGCTGCATATAAATATGGGAATCTAATTTTTGTTATATTTCATAACTGGTGTACTAATAGCATTGTGTAGCAGGCACTAGACAATGTAAGAACCACTGATTCACCCAGCTGATATCATTAGTAACTCTGTCAGTGAAGCTATTTTTGATGACTCAATATTCATAAAAGGGCAAAGTAGAGAAAACAGAATGTGATAAAGCTGGGATTTGAAAGTCCCCATTATACAGTCAAGATAATAGTCACAACAGGGGCTCTGATCAGCTCACAAGACTAGTTACAGTCCTCTGCGCTCAGATTTTGCAGTAAAAAATGTAGTGAGATTGGGTCTATGCTAGTCTTCAAACATCAGCCACTGGATTAGCCAGATCTCTGCAGATTAGTGTTTGTTTCCTGGTTAGCAGGATAAACTACTCCTTTGCCCATAATAAAGCAGAAAAAAAAACCTACTCTAAGTACAGCAAAGATTAATGTCCTTTCTCCTATGACTGACTCCTATGGATACGCAGGAGATGCTACAAACCAAGTGGAAATTTTCCCCCCTGCTGTAAGCTATTCTTTCTCATTTGTACATAGTTTCACTACCATAGTAGCTTGTGCATCTTGTCACTGGGGTGGTAGACAGCGCAAGCTGAACCACAGCAACAACATAAGCTTAAAAACAACATAAGCTTTAAAACAATGACTGTTTAAACTGACTTCAGTAGGTGTCAAGTGTCAGCCGCTTACAACAGAACGGTGTTGGCTCCGGTTTTGAACAGACAACATACATAAATCCCAAAGATTTAAACTGCCCTTTGTGTTCAGCTGGCAAAACCTGTAGTCTGAACTAAAGCTTTTAGGGAGCTTAAAACGTGGGTTTGATCCACCTCTCATTTGGACCCCTCTTACCCTGGAGTACCTCAGCTGCCCTCGCTGGATTGTCTCCCAGTTATGTTTTCCTGAGTTTAGCACCAGGCCTCTGTAAGGTCAGGTCTGGGGATTTCTGTTTACACACAGATAAAGTCTTAATCCTGAATCTATTGCAACCATTAAGAAAATCCAATTTACTTCACTGGAACCTGTAGTTAAGAGACCACACAAAATGATGAATTCAGGTTGTGGTACCGCAAATTGTGAATAGTCCCACCGAAGCCACTGGGAATATTTACGGAATATAAAACTAAACAAATATGTATTTGCAAGACTGGAGCCTAAAGACCAAAGCATACCCTAATTTGTGCTTGTCCTCCGATGAAATCAATTAGATCTTCGACACAAAAACAAAGTCAGAACTTGGCTCTAAGTAAGCAAAACGTTATTTTCAAAACTTTGAAAAACGAAAAACAGGTGTTGGAGTCTAAATTTTTCCTGTAATGTCTTACAAAGCTGATGCTCTTAGTATTACTATTCTTAGAAGTGTCTTATCATTCCCTAACAAAGGGTGCTCTCTTACACGTGCAGGAAACGAACATGAGATTAATTACCCAAGTGTAACTTTCTGTAAAAACAGAGCGCTTAATGCTAAATGCAGAGAATTCATTAGAAAGCACAGGGAGCTTAACTTTAGCAGGGAAATCTTCTAATAGTGTTTTAATATCACATACAGTTCTTCAGCTTCTTGAAACATTAATCTAGCACGTCAGCCTATCTAAAGAGTCAATTGTGCAAGGAGTCTCCCAGGAGAGTGTTTGGTGTTTGCTGCAGCTCTTTGTCCCGTAAGGCTGCCCAGGAGCTGCACTGCTCTCATTTCCCTACTTTGTTCCCTAGCAGCTTTTCTCCCCTGGTTCACTGTGCACGGGGCTGAGGGGTAGAGGGGAATTTTTGAAGGTCTGGTCGGGGGAGCTGGATACGGGGGCGGGGGGAGAGAGGAAGAAGCTGCTGGTGAAAACTAGGAAGTAGTGGCCGTGTGGGTGAAGTCCATCATATTCTAGGCCGAAAATGCTACGTTTTGAGCACATCTTGACCCTCAGCCCCCACCAGGGGGAAAACCTGGCCCTGCTGGAGTCCATGAGATTTTTGTTACTGGTTACTGGTTACTTTTGTTACTGGTTTTGTTACTGGTGTTAGTGGATTGCGAGAACCTGCTTCTGCAGGAAATCAGATTGCATGGGAGAATCTGCTCCCATGAAATGGGTTTCTAGGTTTGATGGGTTTCTCCATGCCTTGTAGCAGCACTGAGTAAATCCAACCAGGGATTTAGATTAGGCATTCAGAGCCTTGGGAGGGAAAAATGTTTATGTTTGTAAAAAACAGAAAATTGGAAGGAGCAGGATAGCATAGTTCACCTCTACTAATTCTGTAATGCCTGCCTTGAACAGTAGGCTTTTTGGTACTCTTCATATTAGAAATACATCTAATCACTTACTGGTGATATTTGTTCTCTATTCATTGGGGAGGGGGGAGAATAGTTTCATGGCTTAGAGAACAAAGGAATTGCTAGCCAGTGCAAAAAATCACTGCTAGGGAAAAAAAAGACATGGAAGAGGGTGCGGAGCTTGTCTAATAGAACAGAAGACTAACACCACTGAGAACACACTGTTCATATGCTGATAAAGAGATGGGGATGGGATTTTTAACAGGTGTCTAATTTGAACCTGTCCTGGAATCGCTGCCCTGTAGTTTGTCACACCTGAGAAGAGCCATATGGTGGTTAATCAGCTCACCTCCAGGCTCTGGTGGGTGACACTCCAGTATTTACTTATGGTTGGTGTTAAGCTATGTGCTTTGCAATAGTAAAGGGCTATAGACAGATGCCTGCCTGTTGCAAGTCAGTGCAGCTCCATTTAAGTTGGTGCTGCACAGCTGCACCCCAGCTGAAGATCTATTTTAAAGCTTCAGTACTATACAAATTGATGAGGGAAGACCACTTGCTCAAAAAAGGCAAGTTTCTCGCTTTACTTGAGTGACTGGATTCTTCACACATTACTGAAAATCAAAATTTCTTGTCAGCATCTTTCAAGCAAGAGTCCGAAATGGACCCCACGTTAGCAAATTTAGCCCTGCATTTCTTACCACACTTTTTTGGGGTGTCTGGGCTGGAAAGACATAAACAGCAGATTATGTCAGCATCAGATTAGCTAATTGGCCAGGTTGAGTCTAATAATGTACAACCATTCTGATTTTTAAGTTGAATATAGAATCCATGCAGGCACATGCTGTATGTCTTTCAGGAAGGTTCGGCCATTCAAGCCGAGTTTACAGCGCTAGAGACTGCCATACCCCTATGCATGGAGTCATTGCTTCCATAGCAATTGTGACAAAACAAGGGTCATATCTGTTCCCAGCTGTGGTGATTCACGAATGCCCAGTATGTTAACATAAACTGAAATCAACAGTGCTGTAAAATAATATACCAGCCTGCAAAAAGCTAAGAAAACATAGTGTCCGTCTCTGCTGTCCCTACTTTAGGGTCAGCAAGCTCCATCAGAAGGGCACAAAAACTAGCTGAAGGCAGCAATCTCTAACTGCACCGACCAATTTGCCAAACTCGGCCGTGGGCACCCTGCATGCCAGGCTTTTACAAGATAAGAGAATCTAAACGACTTCTCCATTTTTAGCTGAAGTTCTGGTATTTATCAGGGGAACAAACAGGAAGTTACTGGCCACTAAGAAGAAAAAGTAAAGTAGAATTATGGAAGAGTTTGCTCAAGTAATAGGAACAAGAGTCCCACAGCAGCTCTAAGGGTGGGTGGGATGCAGAGCAGCTGCTCTGATCTGATGTTGGGCAGGCGTCAGCAGAGCACACCAC